CCTACACGAACCTATCAATGTGTGCCACTTGCCATCATTTTCCACAAAATTCCGAATCACTCCCACATCACAACACAACTCAAGTTTACACCAACTACCCTTTTTCCTTTCCGTTTTCTTCTCAAATTGTTCCCATTTTCACTTTGATTCACCCCACCAAATGATGTGTTTCCCTCTTCACTTGCCAACCCCGAAATCATAGGGTCTCCCTCTGTTCTTTCAGATCCTTTTCTGTTTTCTGCTATTTTCAGGTAAAAAACTCTTTTTGATGCTGCCCTTTTGCTCTGTGATCTTGTGTGATGGTTTTGATGAAGTGGGGTTGAATTGATCATCATTTGGGAATCACAAAGTTTGAATTTTGATGGTTGCTTTGTGTTGAAACCCCAAATCTGTTGTTGTGATGGTGCCTCTCTGAGGACCCCAGAAAAGGGTGGAGTGTTGGGATTTTGAGAAAGTTTGGAAATTTGTTTAGGGAAGGGGTTTGGGGTGATGATTTTTTGATTTAGGGGTGTGAGTGAGTTATAGGGATCCAAGTGCAATGGTCAATGATTTTTAATTTGATTACTGTTTTGTGGTTACAACTTACAGATTTTGGTTTGAATGGGGATTCAGACAATGGGATCTCAAGGTAATGGGCAACAGTCTCATTTACAGCCTTCTTCGTTGTCTAGGCAAGGTTCATGGTATAGTCTCACTCTTGATGAGGTTAATAGTCAATTAGGAGACATGGGGAAGCCATTGGGGAGCATGAACCTCGATGAGCTTCTTCAAAATGTGTGGACTGCTGAAGCAAGCAAGTCTTCTGTTATAGGCATGGACAGTGAGAACATGTCGTCCTCTTCCTCGCTTCAACGGCAGGCCAGCCTGACGCTGGCTCGCGCGTTGAGTGGGAAGACTGTGGATGATGTGTGGAGGGAAATTCAGCAAGGTCAGAAGAAAAGGTATGGAGAGGATGTGAAAATTCAAGAGGGAGAAATGACTCTTGGTGAAACCACCTTGGAGGATTTCTTGGTGCAAGCAGGCCTCTTTGCTGAAGCTTCTATTAGTCCTGCTGTGGGATTGGATGCAATGGATTCGCCTGCCCCTCAAGGTTTCCAACAGAAAACAGGCCTGGCATCCTCCCCTTCGATTGGGAGTTTATCCGACACCAGACCAGGCCAGAAAAGGGATGCTCCTGATGCGTATGAGAAAACTCTAGAAAGGAGGCTGAGGAGGAAAATCAAGAATAGGGAATCTGCTGCACGGTCACGAGCCCGAAAACAGGTTCAGCCTTCATGTACTACATGAAACTACTTTGGTTTGGTGAAATGATTGCATTCTTTGGTTGTTTCTTTTACTTGTTGGGGATTTTTTTTTTTAATCATTGCTTATTATTTATCAATGTTTTGTGGTGCAGGCTTACCATAATGAACTGGTTGGCAAGGTTTCCCGTTTAGAAGAAGAAAATGTAAAGCTCAAGAAAGAGAAGGTAGCAGTATCAGAACTCATTCATGTTTTGTTTTCACCACTATGTTCAACATTCCTTGTGTTTGTCATATAGATATTTGCATTTTATTTTCTTAGAGAATCTATCGACTTATATTTATGGTTTGTTTGTCATTGATTTCTCTTTCTTGAATGACAAGTTTAGGGTGTGTTCTGCGGATCAAATGTGTTTTTGCAACTAAGAGACTAATTGATTGTCGTGTACTGGATTTTCTCATCCTTGGGGAAATGGAAGTTGCTGATTCCCTAATATTTGTCAGAATTTCAATATTTAAAATCTTAACTGAGTAGAATGACATTTGAGATATGAATAAGTCATCTTCTGTCAGTTATTTTCTGGCTATTTATGCTTCTTTCATTTCATTAAATTGGAACTAATTGAAGTTGAGGGCGAAATGGTACTTTAATACCAAGCTAAGTGTGTTTGTTAACTTCTCACCACAGGGAAAAACAGAAACATGAAATTCTTCATAGAAATATAATTACTTTTAGTAAACCAAACTTACCTTAATAACCCTCTTAGATAATATAATTATAAAAATATAAACCATTTTGTACAAGTTTAAGAAAATGACAATTATATCCCATGGTTATATACTCAAACAAATTTCCTTTATGCTTATTTCCAAAATGCTTTTGGTATTATATTGAATCGCTTATTTAATATATGTTGAGAAAACTCTGATGTTCTTTTATGTTAGCACCTTAAACCTAAATCCACTTTTAGTGTGTGGAACTAATTACTCTAGAACCTTGGCTTGTTTGTCTTTTCTCTTTACCAGTAGTGTATGGTAATATTTATCTGAGACGGTTTCATATTCTATTAATGATTTATATGTCAACTGATTTTTTTAAAAAATAAATAATAAATAATTTGATTTGACTGCAAAAAGATTGCTATGGTTCATTTTCAATGCATCTTGGATATTGCTGAGAAATGGAAGGATATTCCAGTCATTCAACTGGGGTACATTGTAGTTTTTCCTTTTGTAATATAGCAATTTCCTACATTTGCTTCTATAAAAAATTCAATAGTGTATCTTTTTGGCCACAGTTTGGGTGATTTCTTTCTTTCCTTTTCCTGCTTAAATGGTGCTGTATATTGTTAGAGATGAAATATACAATCAAAATCTAATCATGAGTCTTTACCTATGAGTGTTCATTAATTTTTGTCACAAATTTTTAATTGCGGTCTAGCATTCATAAATGGATTTTTATTTTTATTTTTTATTTTAAAGTGTTAGTGTGACTAGTAATTTTATGAACATACTATTAGTAATTAAATTGAGTGTTATTATGTTTCTAGTCTTATTCTGTTAAAAATATTACAAAACAACACATTAATGAAATCAGACAATTAATATTAGCAGAATCCTTTCTTGAGACTTCAACGCTCAATAAAAAAGATAAGATTAAAAGTAAATATATTCAGGAGATAGTGAAACAAGACTAAGATTGTTTGGTCATATGATGTGAGAAGACCATACAGGCTCTACTGAGAAAAGAGGATGAAATCGAAGATAGTCTGATTAAAAGAATTGAGACCTATGAAATTATTTGGGGAAACCATTACAAAATACTTTGATGTAAATTGTTTTACTGAAAAGTTTGGTTCCAATTCAGCCCAATCGCCTCAATTGATCAGCGTATCTAATCCCACCTAATGTAATAAGGCATAATTGTTGTTGTAGGCTAGTCTCGATCTGTATTTTATACCTACACGTGTGCTCTACTGTATCAATGTTTTTTTTCCTATTATGTATGCTAGTGTGCTGTATGTTTGTTGTATAGGCTCTCATATGCATTGATGTGAGAAAATGTAGACAGGGTACACATGATTTGGTACTCAACATATTACTTCTGATTAGTTTCTTGTTGGGAAATGTCTTTTTCACATCTCCTACAGTCCAGTTTTTCTGTTGCAAGTTTCCTAATCGTTTCCTATTTGCTAATAAACTTAGACGAGTCTAAATAAGCTTCTATTTGATATATGTTTTTGGGAGTTGGATCGTGTTATATAAATTATGTGTACAAGTACAAGCTACTTGTTCTAGCATACTACAATATTATCCACACTACTTACAGACCAATTCTATAGTTTAGAAAAAAAAAGAACCTGTAGACTGTATGTACCATGTACTACTAGTGAACTATGTAATTTGAAATCATTGGAATTGTGAGAAGCCGAGCTGGTGATGCTTTTGTATGACAAATTATTAGAACTAGTATTGAAATCTGTTTGTCATTTCAGTATTATTTTAGGAGGAGTATTTGCAACACACTCTACTATTAGTTAAAATTAATTGGAAATTACAAAATCTTGAATGGGGTTCCTTAAATAAGAAGTGAGTTCTACAAAATTGTGATTTTCAATAAATTTTAGCAAATATCGAAGTGTGATCAAACAGTGTGTTAGAGAGTACAATGCTACTGCTAGCTTTCCTCTTTTTGTTATGGACAACATCGTATTTTTCATCCTTCTGTTTATTTGCTTTTTAATATGTTTTTAGGAAAAAGTTGCTCAAATTTCAATATTTCATGCTATTTTTCACACAAACATATACTCTCTCCTTTGCGCCATGGCTAGTGGTTTTATATGAATTCACACCATTTCTACATTTGGTTGGTGATTATGCGAATGATAGGCTGTCAAATGTCCCTTTGCTTTTCAAAGAAATGTAACTTCCTTTTACCAATTCATTTTACACCGTTATCCCTGTTATCAGGTGAGATCAAATTTTTAGTATGTGCTTCTGTTCTATTGTTGATTTTATGTCAAGCTCATTGTATAATATTTTAACCAGGATGATGATTGATGCATTATTTTATTACTTCAAATTGAAAGAAATTTTTTTAATGGAAGTTATTTCAAGTGCAATAGAAATTTACCAATCCCTGTCAATTTTTGCAAGATAATTTCACTTGAGCCATGAGACTACATGTTGAAGATTTTATAATTGATATTTGTGCTATAATTTAAATTCCTGATTTCATATTGGACTTTCCTGCCTTAATAGGAATTTGAAGAAAGGTTACCTCCCGATCCCTTGCCGAAACCAAAATATCAGCTTCGAAGACATAATTCTGCCTCTTTCTGACATGTGATCTGCAATGAAGTTTTGTTGTTCTCCATGTTCTTGATTTAATGGGGGCATGTCCAGGATTGCATCACTGCATTGCTCATGGCTGTTGCTACTGCTTTGCATTTGCTCTAGTAGGAGAGTTTGCTCTATATCTAAAATTAACTAACTATAGGGTACATATTGCAGCAAAGGTTTGATGTTCATAAGCTTTAGCTTTGCATGGAAACAGTATCAGGAAATATTTGAGTCCAATGGAAGCCTGGAAGGCTTGCCTTTTTGTATAATGATTATGATGTGTGTACTAGGGCAATTATTAGGCAGTTAAGTTATTGGAAGGTGACTGCTAAAAAAGCTGAAATTAGGTAAGGTAGGTATTGTTAGCATTACTGAACTGCAATATTGTATTATTAGACTAAAGTAATATCTGTTGGTAAGTGTTAGGGCAAAATCCAGATATGAGAAGTAGTGTGCTCTGTAGAGATTATTTTCTAGAAAAGATGAAATAGCAAAAGAAAAGTTTGTTTATTATTATGTTTTCTAGTGCAGTTTGCCACCATGAACATGTCAGTTATTATTTGGATACTCCTTAATTTTGGGAAGAGTTTAATAGACATGTACAGTATAACAAGTTTTACATTATTAATTAGTTAAAAGTCTCTCTAGATGTAACTTTTAATATAGTTATTATAAAATTTGACCTTTATTATTTAAGTTGATTTGTAATTGGGTAACAATGAAAAAGACTTACATTGGTAGTGCATATAATTTTTATTCTTTGGGGGAAATAGTCATTTATTTGGATAATAATTCCTTTTATTTTGTCCAAAAGCTTTCCCAAAATATTACAAAAAAAAGAAAAGTATTAGTTATAAAAAATTACCTTATAAAAGCACACAGCCATTTCTTTAATCCTCTATTTGTGGATTGGGAAACATGTAAGCATCTTAGGACGAATTCTAGCATGAACAAGGAAAGTAGGTAATATACCATGATCCATTCATTTTAGTTGTGAGATTTATCTCTCATGTACATAATAATATCGCACACCCTCTATAGTTGTTTATTATTATTTCATATTTTATTTTCTCCTTCACTTTCCTTAGTCTATGTCTCTTCGTTTTTATTTTTCTTGTCTGGCACCATGGTTGGAGCTCTTGCATGTCAATTGAAAGCTCAAGAATCAGAAGCTTTGACAATTGTAGCATGTCAATGTGTTACTATTATGTGCCTCCCTTGTAAGAGTTGAAACTTGGAAAGGGTAACTCGATGGATAATAAATGATGATTTGGTTGTGATAATTCAAAACTGAAAAAATACCTCGCCTCCCTTCGATGCTGCCTCCATTTTGGTTTAGATGTACAATATTATTATGAACATGAAATGCATCTTGTGGTTAATGAGAATAGTGCACTGTAACCACCTATAAAACTGATCCACCATAGCATTCATCGCATCTTAGAGCATCTCTAATGCATATTCCTTGATAGAGTTGTTTTTTTTTATTTTCGTCCCTAGAGTATCCACCGCCAATAGCAGTGACTAATCTTCTCGCTACGTTAGAGACATCTCAAAGGGTAAGATAGCTGACTCCAAAATAGAGTTGTTTAAGTTACTTTTTAGTGGGTTTTATATATCATAATACACTTGAGAAGTTTTAGCATTTTTTTTTCTCTAACAGTAAAAAAAAATCATTTTATTTCTCATTTTCTTAAAGTGCTCTCTCTTGTGTGTATAGTTTTTTTAATTCAAAATAATGAATAATCATAAAAATATTTTATATGTTGATTTGAATTTATAAAATAGATTATCATATGATTTTTTAAATTTTTAAAAATTTGTAGACTATACTGCAAATATATTTTATATACACATTTTTTATATACACATTTTTTAATATATACATCTCCTTTTTTATTTTTAAATATATTTTTAATTTATTTTATTTTAAATAAATTTTATTTATAAAAAATATCATCTTAGTCTACCCCTAATTTCTCTACTGTTTTTTCCCATTAGTTTATTTCTCTCTAATCACTTTTCATACACCTTCCTTCCTTATTTATTTTTTACTTTTTTTTTCTCTCTAACAACCAAGACACTCACACCTTTATTATTATTTTTAAATTCTATTTTTTTCACCCACTTCAACATTTTTTAAATCCTAAATTTTTCATCCTATATTCAATATTGTATATATAAGATACAAGATTGTGCATTTTCTAAAGACATCATTTTCAAATGTATGGTAGTTAATTTTATGATGAATTATTAATAAGAAATAATATATATATTTTTATTATCACTTCGAAATTATATTTTCTTGATTCTTAAAATATACTTTCAAAAAGTATTTTCTTTGAAGAAAAATATTTTCTCTTTTTGAAAGTAATTTTTAGAAATATATTATTACTCTTCAATGGAAGAGCAAAAATATACTGTTGAAAGGTACTTATTAGAAGAGTAAAAATATTTTTTTTTTCAAAAAATATTTTTCAAAAGTATAATTTTTTTTCTTATGAAAAGCATTTTTTGGAAACATATTTTTTCTCCACCAGAAAATATTTTATAGAAAAAAGTATTTAGAAAATAAATAAAGGAAAAAAAATAAGAAAAATGTATCGTTAATAAATAAATGTATATTTAACAAAAGTCATTATTGTCAAGAAAAAAAATAAAAAAAGAGCTGTATTTTTTTATGAATTATTTGGGCTCAATTTTTCAATAAGCCCAATGTTTGTAACCTAGATAACTTTCATCTATGCATTTATGCACTATACCTTTTTTGAATGCCTCTATTCCTTTCCATCAATTATTTATTTATGATGTTTTGTTTTTTTCTCTCCCTATAATGACTTCGATTTCGAGTAAAATATTATTTTGATCCTTGATTTTTGGAGTGATGACATAGTAACCCCTAAATTATAAAATATAAAATATAAAATATTAATTCTCAATTTTGATTTTTGTCACACAAATTAGTTTATATTGATTTAAGTGATAAATTGACATGTTAAGTGTCACATAATCAATGATGTAGCTTATCACTTAGATGGACAATTGCCTTAATAGGAATCTAAATAACTAACTTTTAGAATCAGTAATAAAATGGATAAAAAATAATAGGGATTTAAATGACAATAGAAAGTAATTGTAATGATTACTTGATCTTCATCTCTTGTGATATTAAATACCACCATTGGAAGTAAAGACCAAGGCTACTCAACCATGACAATCCCATTCTCACAACTATCTCCCTTCTTCTATTTCTTCACTTTTCACAATTCATATTCTATTCATGATGTTAGTTCTTCTTCTTGTTGTTTATTTTCAAATTATCAACCAAGGCTTCACAATCATATATCAAGTGCCATGTCTGCAAGTGGAAGTTCAAGGCTTATGATTATTATTGCAATAGAAGAGTTGTAGCAAAATGTTCACATTTAAACTACTTCAAAAAATATGAGAACTTTTCATCTTCTCTAAAAGAAAAAAAAAATCATTAATGGAGGAAAAACCAATAACTTAAATGCTTTAGACAATTATTGAAAATAAAGCTCACATGTGAAGAAGGAAATGAATAAATCTGGAAATACACATCTTTGCTTGGTTGGAACAAAATGGTAACACATAGAGAACCTTTAACCACTTAGATGCTCTACATAAGAAGAACAAACAACAACAATACTTCAAAGTCAAGGAAGAAGGAAGTCAATGATGGACACCCAAAAGTTAAAAAGAGGAAAAAGTAAAAACTTTTCACCAACTTGATTCAAATTAGGTACAAACGAAATGAAATTTCATTATTAAGCTCCTTGTTGAATTGATAATATTTTGCATTTATTTTGTAAGTTAGGTCATTGCTTGTGTGACAAAACATAGAAGGAGTTAACATTTCTACACGATAAACATTAATAGTGTGAAATCAAAAATTAAGAATTAATATTTCATTTTTCATAACTCAAGGACTACAATATCATCACCTATAATATTAATAACTAAAATAATACTTTACTCCTCCATTTTGAAAGATAATTATTTTATTTTCCCTTTCTCAATATAATAATATTTAGACACTAAACATTTTTCAAAGGCCATCCCCTGTTCATCCAAATATTTTTGTTTGATATTTCATTTTCCCCCACTATGCAAAATGAAGTTGTTTTGCCATTATTATTTTGGGCGACTACTATAAATTTGAATCATTAATAAGACGAATTATATATAACAAGCATACTCTCTAAAATTGGAGCGTATACTTTATTGCGATGCCCTCGTGCGTTTTAGTATGTATATTTATTAAATAATTTTAATTACTTTTTTTTTTATAGATATTTTTATTTAATCTTAACAATTTGAATTTATAAATGTTATTGTATTATAAGACGATTATATAAAATATTTTACATTAATAGTAAACTAAATTTTATTTACTTTTCTAAAGGTTTTACCATACTAAATATCTATTTTTTTTTTCCTTCCAATTAATAAATTTTTATTTAGAGACAATCTTCTTTGAGTTATGTTTGTACATTAAAAATAGACACTTTTTCCCGATGAGAACTGTATGTTAGATTGACATTACTAAAAATCTATGGATCTGTGAACTTCACCTTTTGTTATAAAGTAAATAGAAAATAAGCAATTTATAAAGTAGTGTAGTTAAGTTTTGCAACATGCATAAGTTATGAATTTTTTTTATTGGGTATCCAGTAAATAAGAAAATTATTTTAATACATTAAAATTATAAATTTTCACATTTTTGTATTTTTTGGACAATTATGTTATAAGTTTGAATCATTCACTAATTTTGTTGATGGTTATCGTTCGAAAGTTAATTGACCATTTTTAATAAAGATTACTCTTCAAATTGTGTTGCTATAAGACCCTAAATTATGCATTGTATTCGTATTATAATGCAATTATGTATGGAGCGACGTTAAAAAAATAAAAATAAAATTCTGGAAGACAACACAAAAAGGAAGATGCCAACAGAAAAAAGAGATGAAAATAGAATGGACCCAAAATTCAATTCTCGTGTTTTTTTTTTTACTACTTTTTCTACATGAACTTTTAGATATTAAGCAAAAACAATCCAATGGATCACAACTCATAGAGGAGATAAGAAAGCAAGGAACTAAAAGCAAGTAAAGTTTTTGGTTCAAATGGCGTTTCTTTGCAATAGGAAAATCTCATGTGAGATGAAAGATTTTTTTTTTTTCTTTTGAGTAAAATAGTAGATAGAAGATAACACCCCATGATTATGGATAAGAAAGGAATCAATGACATATTGAGAATCCTTAGATCAAACACTATTGTTTAGTGGTGTCCAATTTGATTCAAAACTTTTTAGTCAATATAAATTAAAAAAATAAAAATATCAAAAATAAGTTTTAAAAAAATATTTATCTAAATAAATAGTTTTTGTCACATTGGACGTAGGAAATGGCAAACGCATAGGGGTGTGTCATTTTAGGCAAATTTGAATAAAAAAATGCACATCCCTTGTGCCTTTTTCTGTTCTAGGATTTTCT